CCCCCCCCCCGGGGGCGCTTAGTATGCATAAAGCATTTCCTTCTGAAAAAAAAAGATACCTTCTAACAAACATACAAACATTCGCATTTATAATATTAGTAAGATTAGTTATAATTTTTCATGTATGGATGGATGTTTCTTATAATGTATCTCCAGAATAGCTGAACAGATCTTGATGAAACTTGTCATACATATAGAACATAGTCTGGAAGAACACATAGGCTAATTAAGGTTTTTTTTAATACAGCATGGACGAAGTCACAGGCGACAGTTAGTTATATAAATCTTTGGATATTTAGATTTTATGTCCAGTGGAAACTAACCTTTAATTTATGTTTTTAATTCCAGAGATACGTGTAAGAAGCAATTTGATGCCCAACTCTGAACCAATTCCCGTGGACAGTGATGATGAACCGGATCTAGGTGAGAGACATGACTAATACCTTCCTTAAAGGCCGGCAACGCATCTGCGGTTCCTCTGGCGTTGCGGATGTCCATGGACGTCGGATCAAATAATATTAGGAGATTCGTTGCTCGTTTACCCCATTCTCCTATATAAAAAAAATATGTAGGTAGACAGAGATCTAGCTTAAACACTGACCTTTATTAATGGACCGGCTATACACATAGTTTTTTGTGCTGATTTGATTTTTGACAAATTTGTAGCTGTACCATAGATTCTTACTAATAATATGCATAAAATTAAAAAGCACATTTTTAATTTGAGAGAAAATTTCCTAAATTCTAAAGTTGCTTGAAGCTAAAAAAATGTAAGAATTGGATAACCGTTGGAGTAGACCAGTTCTTGAGTGGAGATTAAGTCGGCAAACGTAGCGGGAGAAGAGCTGGACGAGAGTGGTCGAGGATCGTGCTTAGTGCCATAAGAGAGGCCTATGTCCAGCAGTGGACTAATATAGGCTGATGATGATGATGAAGAGTTCAGTTTCTTTTTTTTGTCACAGGTTCTCCGAGTCAGGCGTCAGATTCCTTGAGTTTGGATGAAAATCTACGCGCTTTGCGTCACATACATGAAAAATATGCCAACATTGATAAGGTAAATACAAACTTTTATATTTTTACGGTTTTTTTTACCCTTTTAAAATACAAAAGTCAACCCAATACTGCCTTAGACCCCTTAAAATGACTTTAAACCTTCCAAAAACAGTGTCAAACTCTCGAAGAACGTTCATAAGACACTCATAACAATCTTAAGCTTTTCAAAAGGATCATAATCCCCTAAGATAGTATCAAGACCACCAAAAATCATCTCCTAAAACCCCCAAAATAATCTCAGACCCCCAAAAGGATCAGAATCCCCTAAAACCGTATCAGGACCCCCAAAAATTTTCTCCCAAGACCCCCAAACAATCTCAGACCTCTCAAAACAATTTCAAGACCCCCAGAAAAGACTGAAGCCCCATAACCCTTGTATTCCAGGACGACATGTACGAGGCGCACCTGCTCGCTGCCAACTTCAAGAAGCCCGCCACTGACGGCGCCAGACCTCATGATGACGACGTCCTCTCTGTCAGGAGCTCGGAAGGTGACGTACATACATACATGCATATATTTATGAAAGAAACTAGCTGTTGCCTGCGACTCCGTCCCCAAATAATTAAAAAAAATAAGAAGTGTTCTATATGTATGACAAATTTCATCGAGATCTGTTCAGCCGTTCTAAAGATACCTTCAAACAAACATACATCTAAACATTCGCATTTATAATATTAGTGAGACTAGTCTGGAAGAACAGATAGGTTATTATTAATTTAGATTTTTTATTAATTCCGTGCGGACAAAGTCGCGGTCTACGGCTAGTGTATATAATTGAAGTCGGAGCATATTAGCATTTCTAACGTCTGGTCATGTTTTTTGAGGCACCCCCTTTTTTAGTTTTAGGGGAAATATTCCAAAGATTAGGGTATCTTTGTACCACAAACGTCATTTTATGCCCTCTGCCCAGGGCGGTTCCCCCACTACGGCCCACCCTAACGCCCCAGTGTTGCAGGTTGCGCGTCAGTGAAGGAGGTGGAGACGAGAGCTGTGAAGGTGGAGGACAGCTCCAACTCTGACTCCGACACCACCTCATCCGGATCCTGTGAGTTCTCAACACATACTCCCCTGTTTATTTTTATATATATAATACTTCTGTGAGTGTGTATGTCACTGAACTTCTCTCAAACGACTGGAGCGATTTTGATGAAATTTTTTGTGTGTGTTCAAGGGGATCTAGGAATGGTTTAGATTCACAATTTTGTTCGCTGGACAATGTTTTTTTAATTAATTTTAAATTTATTAGTAGTCGTTGATTTTAGAATGTTTTACATTGGATCCGACAGACGGCGCTACCATCGCATTGTCAAATTGTCAGACAATGTCTGTCGGGTCCGCTAGTCTTTAAATAAAATTAGTGTCTGTATGTCACTTGTCGAACATATTTTTATGTTTGACAAGTGACAGACTTGCCGAGCCAGTTGACACGTGTTGTCACGTACTTTTGACAGGTACAGTTGTCAAAAACGTACAAGCGATGTTGCCGTTCGAATAAAATAATTTTTCTTACTAATATTATAAATGCGAATGTTTAGATGGATGTGATGTGGATGGACATGTTATAGGATACGTTTTTTTTTATTCTTAAACTGACAAATTCTCTAACAACCAAATACTTATTTACATACAGACATTCCAATTTTATTAAATATATATATATATATATATATATATATATAAAAAAGATTTTATCGAAGTGAAATTGCAGATTTAATTTTTTATCGATATTAGTTGAAATGTTGCTATATGAAAAAAGACGTGTCCCAAAATGTTACGTACATAGGAAGGGGGATGATAGGGGTGGTCACAAGGGTCACCAGAAAAATTAAATAAAAATTCCCCTCTGGGTATTAAAAAAAATAAATGGCAGTTTTTTAAAAACTTAAAAATTTTACACCTTCTGAGGCAATTTTGTAACCGATGACCTACAAATATTGCTATATTTAAGAAAAAGCTATTATGTTATCGTCAATAACCCTTTATCAATATGAAATAAAAAAAAAACAATACAACTAACAAAGATTTTAAAGAAAAATCAAATCACCTGTATGGTTTCGTTCTTTAAAAGATAATTTATTTACATGCAGCAAGAGAAGAAAGATTAAGTGATGGTGAGTTACTAGTAATTAACAATTAATTCGACGTAATTTTTTTTTGTAGCAAAAAACTGTTTTTTTTAGGAAAGTCATACTTACGTAATTTTCTCTAAACTAGTTTAGTAGATTTTTATTTATTTTGTAACTCTGGACACCATTGACTTGGTTAAGTAAATTGATTTTAATATAGTGACGTTGTTAAGCGCTAATAACCTAATAGTTCAGGGTACGGATATACGATCACGAGGTCGTGGGTTTGAATCCTGCAATTCGACTATTAGAAACCATAACACAAGCCTAGAGCTTAGTTGGAATGTTTAAAGAAATATTAGTAAATTTACAAAAATCTGTTAATATTTTTATAAACAAAAAAAATATATTTCCTAAAAGTATTTAATATCATTTTCTTTACTTTTTTTTATATCATAAGGTGGCAAACTAGCGAGCGGCCAACTGAAATCGCTGAAATAGCGAAGTGACCGTTGCCCATAGACATACGCAATTGCATATGCGTTGCCTACCTTTAATCGACGGAATAGAGGATGCACATAAAGAAAATATTTTCTCTTTTCATGCATTCTCTCGTCCGGAAAGTCCACTTACACTTCCCATCCTTTACTTATAAGAAAAAAGGTGGGAAGGGAAAGAGGACTAAATTAGGTCTCCGACACGCACACTCATCAGACTGTAGTTGGAATTACTTCGCACTTGAGGCGTGTCTTCTGTGTGCTCGTGGTATTTCACTGAGCGAGGACAATTCCTGCGAACATGTTCAAGCGGGCTCTACCACTGTTAAAACATAGACAAAGTCATCTGCAACTTTTATCTGTTGAATATCACATATAACAATGTACTCCATGTATTACAGGCAGCTCATCATCAGGCAGCAGTTCCTCCTCCAGCTCGGGCTCCTCCAGCTCCTCCGACAGCTCCGACAGCGAGTCTGACGCAGAATTCCCCCCGCAGCCCCCCGCACTGCACGCCGCACAAGATGACAGGTGATACCATGACACACACTTCTCCTAATTAATTAAAAAAAAACATAATTATTAGTCTATGTGTTCTTCCAGACTATGTTCTATATGTATGACAAATATCATCAAGATCTGTTACTTGTAACAAACATACATCTAAACATTCGCATTTATAATATTAGTACGATATAAGAGACTCGATGGCTCAAGGGTTAAAACAGTTGACTTGTCTGCAGGTCCTGTATTCGAATCCCGTCACGTATCAATGTGTTACATTTATCATATCTTGTTACTATGAAGGAAAACATCGTGATGCTGCACATATGTGAGAAAGTCAAAGATGAAGTCTTGCACTGGACCAGCATTCACTATCACATACTCTCACTTAGGGTACACTCTGCATTACAAAATGATGGATGATATATTGTTTTTTTTTTCACAAACACCCTGACATGAGCATCAAATGAAAAGATTTGACTAATAAAATAATGAAGTAGGTTATTTTTTTTATATCATTTGACATCCAAGTGTGTTAATTTATGACGTACATTGTCCACAGATCATTTGGGGCATGGTCTAGTTACAGCGGTGCGCAGACGCACTCCGGCTCAGATTCTAACAGCGAGGACGAAGTGGAGGCGGGGCCTGGGGGAGCGAGCGCGGGAGCGGGGGCGGGGCCGGTGACGCAGGGGGCGGGGCCTGAGCCACGACCAGAGGATGAAATCAGCGAATCAGAGAACGAGTCAGCGGATAAGAGCTTCCAATGTTATATATGTAGGAAGTGGTATTCAACACGGGTTACACTCAAGTAAGTTAGAGTTTTATATATTATAATATTCGCCGAAATGGCGAAATGACTGACCTACAGATATCCGCAATTGACGCGTTGCTTACCTTTCATCGCCGGAGAAAATATTTCCCCTTCCTACGCGTCCACTCCTCTGTAATTGCGCCTGGAAATGAACTACTATAGCTCAATGGTGAATTTGCAAAAGTAAAGATCTGTTGTTCTGATGATTCTATATTTGGCAAAGACAAAAGATAAAATAAAATGATGTCAGAAAAAGCAAAAAAAAAATAACAAAAAGGTCCAAAATTGCACTGACAACTTAACCGCGGGGTCAGTGTAGAATGTACGTATGTTGATTTGAAGGTATCGCCACAGCGTTTGTATGGATTTAGCTGAAATTAATCATAAATATAGAACATAGTCTGGAAGAACACATAGACTAATAAGTTTTTTTGATATACCCACAGAATACACAGACGCGTACATCAGAACCGTGGCGGCGGTGGCGGTGGCGGGAGGTCGCGCGCGCGCTGCTCGGAGCGCTACGAGTGTGACTGCTGCTCAGAGACCTTCAGCCGACGTGACAAGTTGCGCGAACACAAGTCAGTATACACCCATATACCACGGTATACTGTGGTCTACTGCGATCTACTGTGGTCTACTACGGTATACTCAGTAGACCGACAGTAATGGATGTGTAGATTGTTTTATATTTGTATACATCTTTCTGGGAACTCTAGGAAAATAGATTTATGTTCGGTCTACTCAGTAGATCATTTATAGATATTTAGGTTAAAAATGTAACAAAAGTGGTCTACTAAGTAGCCAGCCAAGTAAGTAAGACAGCCTTTTAGCGATCTTCTACGATCATCATCAGCTCACTTTATATCCCCACTGAGTGTGTCAGAGTCTACCCTAAGTGAGAGTATGTGATAGTGAATGCTGGTCCAGTGCAATACTTCACACATAACTTTCTCAGATATGTGCAGCATCACGATGTTTTCCTTCACTGTAACAACATACGATAAATGTACATATGTAAATGAAACACATTCATACATGACTTGATTCCTTGAGAACCTGCAGACAAGTCAAGTAACCCCAGAGTGAAAAGACTTTGTCATATTATCAGGGCGGAGGCACATCGCGGCAGTATGACTGTGCGCTGTGAAGTTTGTCGCAAGTGCTTCGAGGATGAGGCTGAGTTGGCGGCGCATGATGCCGGACATACGGCGGATGAGCGAGCAGGTAACGTACATACAACATTCACATCTGAATGAGGGAACACTGCCCTTTTCTTCACTAGATGACAATACTATCGAGAGTAGGACTAAATATAACACAGATTATACTAAAAATACTTCTTACTTATATTATTAATGCGAATGTTTGGATGGATGGATGTTTGTTAGAAGGTATCTCCAAACGGCTGCATGAATCTTGCTGAAATTTGTCATACATGCAGAACATGACTAGAAGAACACATAGACTACTAATGACGTTTTTTTTTAATTCAGCGCGGACGGAGTTGCGAGCGACAGCTAGTATATAAATGGATAGACTGGCTTGGAAATTACAGCTTTTTCTTGGATCCGATTTAAACACGCCTGTTAATGTTACGTGACAGTTAATTCTATCTATATTAATGTATTATAAGCGCCAAAATGGCGAATATCGAATAGGCTCGAAATGCCATGTCTTATAGCCCTGAATGTAATAAATAAACTTATGTTGTAGGTCGTTGCGACATGTGCGGCGCTCAGTTCCCGCGCTACGAGCAGCTGGCGCGTCACCGGCAGTGCGCGCACGGCGCCCTCCCCCCGCACATGCCGCACGCGTGCACTCAGTGCGGCAAGCGCTTCTCGCACGCCCACTCCCTCACACGACACATGCACAACCACGCCAAGCAGCTCTACCGCTGCGTCGTCTGCAAGGTGACATGCCATGACAAGACATGACACAACATGACTAGATATAATATGATACGACATGACTAGACATTATACTCCACGACATAACTAGACATGATTCGACATAATATGCCACGACATGACTGGACATGATCCGACATAATATGACACGACATGACTAGACATGATTGGACATAATATGACACGACATGACTAGACATGATTCGACATAATATGACACGACGTGACTTGACATGATTCGACATAATATGACACGACATGACTAGACATGATTCGACATAATATGACACGACGTGACTTGACATGATTCGACATAATATGACACGACGTGACTTGACATGATTCGACATAATATGACACGACGTGACTTGACATGATTCGACATAATATGACACGACATGACTAGACATGTTTCGACATAATATGACACGACATGACTAGACATGATTCGACATAAAATGACACGAAATGAGTCGACATGACACTACACGACCACGATATGGCCCTTGACTTACTATAAGTCATGACATCACTACATTTCAAGTTATGAAATGACGAAACACGAGTAAGAAAACACATCTGGAAAGCGGATGTCTATAGTAAGCAGTTCCTTCGCTGTTTTGGCGAAAATAGGTGGTCGTTTGCTCATTCGCAACATTGTAATATAAAAAAGAAACGAAAATTCTTGAATGACGCAACTTAACACAAGGCAATACGAAAAAGCATCAAGTAATATTTTAACAATAATATTATATTATCTTATTCCAGGCGTCATTTGCACGAGCGGATCAATTAGCGCAACATCTGAACAGTCATCTCGCGAACTACAAGCGTATGAAGCCGTAATACACGTCGCGACACCTCGACGTAACGGTGACGACACGGCCGCGACACGGGCACGACACGCGGCGGCCGCGCACAGGGACAAGGGGCGAGTGCAAGCAATGGATTTATCTATGGACACAACACACAATATTATATTATATTATTATAGAGTTTTATTTATGTAACGTCGTTTTATTTTGTAAATAATGTAGTGGATGTTGCCCGCGACTCTGTCCGCGCTCGATCCAAAAAAAGCTTTAATAGATCTTGGACAAATTTCAGTGACATCCATGCAGACCTATATCCATACATTCGCAACTATATATATTAGATCAGTTTTTTTTTTATATTTTGTGTCCGATAATTAAAATTACTGCCATCTATTTTTAATATACTAAAACACTAGTGCTGCTTCTTGTCAATAGATGGCGCTAACACAATGTGCGACATCTAGTGGCGAAAAGAAGAAATAATGAAACGAATGAAAAATCATTTATGGTCTTTCATGGTGAATCTAGTTTAACGTATTCTGGTAAGTTTTGGGTCTAGTGTAATATTTAGTAAAGGTGAAATAAATAAAACGCCTTGTTTTAATTTATTTTTTATTTTTCATATTCTTACAGACTATATCATATGTATGTTTAATAACTATATTAAATGCTATAGGTAGGTACAGGGTATATCGTTTTATTCCTATGCAATATTTTCATTTCATTGATAACCTTTTTTTAGTTTAAAATATGGTCAAAATAACATTCATAATGATGTTAGTTTTGGAAGGTAACAAACGAATATATACGAGTAAAATATTCGTATATCGTTCTTTGCTAAATAGCAATATTTAATCGATATTTCCCTCCAAAACTTGACATTAACAAAAACAAGCTTACAAAAACAAAAATTCAACAAATAAAAATCAACAGACAAGCGAGATTCTTACATTTTTAATCTTAAAACACTATTTCGATTACGACTAATTTCCACTAAATATGCGAGTATCCGAACTCAAAAATAAAATCCAAAATAATATCCGAACGGGGTTAAAAATAAATAAAATGACAAATTCACTCGATCAAGTTAGAAGATATAGATTAAAAATAATTCTCAAATGTCATCACCAGCTAAATATGAAATCTTAAATATATCACACGTCAATGTCATATACCAAGTAAAGGGATAGTTATAGAAAATACAAAAAGGGGGAAATTACGATAAAATCACTAACACTTTCTGGTCTTTGTTAAGTTCGTAACATCACATTATTATTTATAAAATAAAAGCTCAGATCTTCTAAACAGCGTGCGTTGTGGTTAGAAATCAATAGATGGCGCTGAATTGGTACGCGGCCTAACTACGACTACGTGTTGACAACATTTATGGACGGTAGAAAAAAGGAATGGGACATAAAGAGTCTACGTGACATGTGAGATGATATCATATAATACGACAAATTTATTTGACCCGGTGAACTAAAGTTTCTGATTAAACTCTGAACTAATCCAGATAGCAGCGCATCATCTTGCCAAATAGATTTATCGCAATATATTCGAACTGTCAAAACGTCAACGATAACATTTCAATTTTGACAGCACATAATGTACCACTGATGCAGCGATTGAAAAAAAGACAAGAATTTAATTTTTTAAATATCTAAAGTCCCGTTTCACAATGTCCAAGTAAAGAACTGGATAACTTAACTGACACAATTCCTTAGGTCATAAGATATCTTAATAGGCACCGAACGCCTTATCTTTGGAAGATTTCCCCTGAACACAAAAAAGGGGGTGATGCATGGCGCTGGAAATGCTCAAATCTGCTCTGTCATTTAGACTGTGAAACGCCAACAACGACTTCATTTGTCAAATAAATTCTACGTAACTTATTCTTGACCTGGATATTGTAAAACAAGTCCAATGCATTGTGAAAGTATTTAAAATATGTCGTGTGTTTACATATTTGTGTTACATTTACATTATGTACGAACAAATTACGTCTCGTACATAACAAAATAAATGAAAAATTACATACAAACTAGCGGTACAAGAAATCAAACAACTACACACCACTATTGAATAATTATTGCTGAGTTACGACAATCTTCGATATGAAAATTAAACTCTGTTAGTACCCAAAAGAAATAATGGCAGACAGGCGATTCTGGCGATCTCTTGTAGGAGGCCAAGATGTACTTTGGATCGCTGTGCTAGCGGAGTAAGTGACTAGGATTTTTTTTACTAAAACTTCCAACTAAATCTAGGCTTGTAGGATATCTTTCAACAGAATGTAGAAATTAGAACAAAAACTATATGCGTTTTAACTTCAATCAAGATACTTTTATTTACCTGATTTTTGTTAACTTTCTTTAAATAAAGTTCATCATTGTTGTTATTTATTATTAAATTTTACAAATTTATATTAACGATATTTAGTAACGCGCAAAAATGACACAAAATGACATGATATATTCCTATAAGTTGCCTAATATAAGTTGTAACACAAAATTGTTGTGTTACAAAAAATCCAATTTTCATATCGAAGATAGCTACAGTATTACAAAGATATTTTTTTTTTCATCTACAAAATAAAAAGGACAACATCGACTATATGTAGAGTCAAACACGAAAATCGTATAATATTCTATACATTTACTAAAGAAACGGTGAATCTACACTGTCATTTACCTGTATCATACTGCTATCCTTTCACTCCCTTAGGAATAAACAGAGATAGCTATATACAAGTCTGCGTTGACTATTGACACATGTCATCTCACACATTTTCTTTGAAAAAGACAGAGACAGCATGTCTCAATACGCAATGCAGTCAACTAGGGTTGTCACGAAAGTCGGAACTTCGCATGATCGGAACTTTTGCATGGAATTTTATTTATTTTACAGTAGTAACAGTTATTGTTTTTACAATACGAGACATAAATCAATCGTTTTTTTTAGTATGTCATAAATACGTAATATTTTCTTAGTATTTTTTTGTCCGCCTGCGATTTCGTTAGCCTCCGTTACAACCTCAGTTTGAAACAGTCAGTGTAATTCACTACAAAAACTATAAGACACCATCAAATTGTGACACAAATTTTATAATTTTCAAAAAATATTTTTATTCTCGTGTACAAAAACAAGGTTCTCTTTGCCTTACGAGCACGCGTCACGGTTAACCGTCTTAGTGCCAAGGCGTGCGATGGCGCGCCTGCGAAGTGCCAGATGCGCGGTAGCGACTGACGCGTCAGTGTGTTTTTGAGTTCCGCTAGCGGCAGTCGTGTGCGTCAGACGAGTAATTTTAAAATTGAAAATTTAAAAATGTTTACAAATGTTACACATTATTTTCTATTACTCCAAAATTTTACAAAAAAGACGGTAATTTATTGGCATTTTTTCACATATATTACGAAAAAATGTATGGCACTAAGACGGTTAAAATTACAAAAACATCAAAAGTTCTAGCATCTTTCTAAAACAAAGGAAACACTACGAGATTTTATAAAAAAAACATAAAAACTGAGTAATTTCACAAAACAACAAACCCACTTCAATACGAAATCTATATATATATATATAAGATAGTCGTGTTAGTTACACTATTTGTAATTCAAGAACGGCTTTACCGATATGACTGAAAATTGTTGTGGAGGTAGCTTAGAGCCAGGAGACGGACATAGGATACTATTTTTTATTTTTTAATTTATGCCTTGAAGAGCTGCTTTTTATTTTACTTATGGATGGATGGGTGTTTGAAGATATCTCTAGAACAGCTAAACGGATCTCGATTAAATTTGGCATACGTATAGAACATAGTCTGAAAGAACACATAGGCTACACTAATTAAGTTTTTTATATATCCACGCGTACGGAGTCGCGGGCGATAGCTAGTTTAACTAAAACTTAAAGACAGATATTTTGTCTTCACTAAAATCCGTGGACATCACCACAATTATGTGTTTTCACTGACGAAACATATCAAGAAACATATTCCTTCACAGTGCGTAATAGTGTTTTTGAGTTAAGATGCCGACACATTAATTGGAATTGTTAAAATGGGTTTGTTATTTTATGAACAATCTAATTTGTCACACGACTAACTAGTCTAGTATTTCATGGCCCTGAATATGTAACGTAATTTTGTTATTTTCAGTTATTAAATTAAATTAAATTACAATTGAATATTATATGTTACAAAAGTTCATTAAAATTTGTAACATTCGATATTTAAAATGGTTTTGTTCATTTTAATTGATGAGAAATTGAAATATTATTTATTTTTACTTTTAATTAGTGTGTCAATAAACAATTTTGATGCCACAATATCGACTTCGGCTGTCTTTATAATAGTAAAATAACCAGTAATAGTCGGTAATGTTAGACAGTTTTAGATAGAGCGAACTGACGGCGCACTGTGGACGCCCTCTGCCCCACTACGGGGACATATGACTCTAAGTCAACTGCTTTCGTTACAAAGTCAAATGTCAGATGTAGTGAGGGGACATACGTCGACATTTTAGCAAGGCTAGTGCGCCAGTACACCGGCCCTGTGTCGGATTTTCTTCGTAACAGTATAATTTAGTTATAAATCATATTTTTGGTTAAAAGTTTAAGTTTGAGATTGAATATTCAAGGCCATAAAACTAAATTTAGAATCACTCTTAGAGGATTATTCGCTAATTCTGAACAATTGGTGTTATATTTATCAGTTAGACATTATGTACTTAGAGAGACGCTACTAAAGAAAACAAATAAATATCTTTGGCACGCGATGTCCTACAAATGGTACATTCAAAACACTTTGTAGCTAGATATTTCAGATTCAAATAGGTCTAGATAATAATTCAATTGACTTTGGAGCTATTCAATATTCTGATAGGTCTAGATAATAATTCAATTATATACACAGTGAAAATACCAATTATAAGATGCTTCATATAATTTAGTTGAAAAAAAAACTTAAAAAATATGATTGTGTATAAATTATGATATATCGATTAGTTTGTTATTTAAAAGAATTACTGTTTTTGTACGTATTTCTCACGGCTTGATACAGTAATATCTTTAAAAAAATTAGAGATATGTTAGACTTTGTCATGCTACAAATAGAGATAAATTTGTAACACAATTGTTTTTGAAAGTTTCATCTCAACTGAAATTACACGCTTATAGAAAAGCGAGGATAAAAGTGTTTCAAGTGTATCGTTTGGAGCACTCTACGATATCTATATGTAAAAAAACTTTAAAATGATTTTTTTAAAAGTTCGAATTTTTTTTTTATCATCAATAAGGCATTTTCATTGGAATCATGTATAGATAGAAAAATTACAATCCACCCTCACAACGATCCTATACACTTTACAATAAAGATTTAAATATAATATTGGTGTTATACTTTGGGACTTAAAATTAAACGATATCTTTTATACATACATATATCATGGATAGAAATAAAAAAAAAAGAAAACGTACGATAAAAAAGAAAAATCCACTAAAAAATTCAATAGCCTACCTATCTAAAAGACATGTAATAATGTTCTGCACAATAATTTCTTGTATATATAGTCTATAATTAAATTTTAATATATCTTGCACTTTACCTAGCTAAAATATTATACGACCATTTTACAATGGTCATTCTCATCGTCTTAGCCCAGCGTCATAGCTTAAGACAGCAAAGCTGTTTACACCTTAAAATCTAACTGTTAACCATATGTATAGATGAAGGAAGATCAGCTTTGGGTGATGGCATCGACTTACGAAACACGGACTAAAATATTCGATTAGACAATCGTTTGATTACCAAACGAAATAAGTCGATCGTTTGAATATTACCAAACGGTATTCGATTTGTAACATGAAGCTAAAGCGCTTCTGTTTTCTCTACATAGATGAGTTTACCTCTCTATAAAACAAAACCATTTATATCCTTGGTGCCCACCCGTGGCTGTTTGCGGCTATCATCTAAATGGGTTATATATTTAACTTAGTGTTTATCCTATGTCAAGCGATTATAGGCATTACAGTGTAATAATAATCATCCTAATATCTAGCATCATTATATGTCGACTATAACTAAATTTGTCTATCTAAAACTCCATCGTTATATTATTTTTGTGATATTCCTCAATTCTGTGGGAGGTCGTACCTCGTAATGCTTGTTTTTAATTATTCACACAACAAATAAAAGTGTAACTTCACCTTATCATTACCACAATCAATGGATACACTTATATTATGTGAATAACATTAAAAGCAAGCTATCCTTCGATTGACTGGATCAAAATTGACTTAACAACTCGTTACTTAGCTGAAATCATGTTATGTATTATTATATATTTGTTAAATATAAATATCCTTATTAATAATTTCTAGCGATATGTCTCATAAGTTATTTATCTACATGCCACAAAATAAATAAATCGCTAAAGAGAAATAAATAATCTACGACAGACAAACAGATAATTTCGTTTTTTTTAAATATAACGTATAAAATACATCGTTTACAAAATATTATATAGAGCAATAGAGACGAACGCGGTTATATGCGTTGTCATTAAAAAGTTTCAAAAAAGACTGTCGAGAGCGACTCCATTATACTTACATTAAACATGTAACCTTCTCATTAGCCACGCTTTGAATAAACAGCAACCGATCCTTAGCACACAGTTTGTGCAACCATCGACAACGTTACAATCCATTTAAAATTATAATCAACAATGTTACATTCCATTTAAAATAATCTCCAAGTGTCACATTCAATAGAAGACAACTTTGAATGTAACATTAAAAATAAAGAACATTGAAAACTGTAACATACGTTACAATGTAACATACGTTACGATGTAACATCGAAAGTACATCCAACTGATAGATAATTTGTAACAAAACATTAGAACACACGCACACATACACATTCGTATTTCGACTAGCTACAGTAAAAGATTAAATGCTCCTTAGTATCTATGCAATAAATATTTTTTCTTTTCACTTATACAATAAATAAATCTAATATTTTTCTACGTTTCGGTATTTTATTTCCACGAAGATTTTTTTAAGTGTTCTTTAACATTAAGACACAACCATTTTTTTTAATATAACAGTTAGTTAATAAGTGATTCATGATTTTTTTTTTTACTATTTTTTAATATATCTTACGGTTTTGAATTTGGCATTGTCTTTCGGAACAAAAAACGAAAGAAAAAACTCAAAAAGAGAGATGTAGAGAAACTAAAATATTGACTAGATATTTTGTATAGCATTATTCATTTAATCGTATGTAACCTTTAAATATTTTTAAATCCTATTCATTTACACTCGTACCTAGCAATCTCTTTGGATATAAAATTGTCTTATAAAACATCTCACTCGCTGAAACCTGCGCTCGCTAATGTCGCCTACTAAACATGTCTCCAAAAATCTACAATTTTCCCACTAAATCTTATCCTAACTCTTGTGCTAACAGATGACTTTGGTTCCTTATCACCGCTCAATCAATTTCTTTCCCCAATATTCATTCTCATTTATTATCATTCCGTTTCTTTTACCAATATCAGTATTTACTAATATTATCTTAATATTATATATCCATAATCTTAAATCGAATTATATATTTTCTAAAAGTTATTTTTTTTTGTAATAATAGCATTTCAATGCTCTTCAAGCGGTAGAAATAATTGTTTCAAATAACTGACTCACATTTTACTTCTTTCTGTAAAGATTTGTGACCAACTGGTCATCTTGGCTTATATATTCGTCTCCGCTGATATCCAAAACCCGCCCAAAGATGTACCTTCACCAAAATTAATTCATAAAACAAACGATTCAAATTAACCAATCAACATTATCGACCTAATCCACAATTTCTTCTTTCAACCAATTTAATTTTAAATTGATCAGATAAAAAAAAATGTTACAATTTTTAATGGTTTGAAATTCGACTTGAAATTTTAATGATAAGTTCATTAAAATGTATTTTTATATTGGATATTACTGAATAACTTCCTAACCACTAACATTATGCCTTAATTTAAATTAAAAAAAATCTCACATCAAAATGACTAGAACAAAAATGAACACTACAGCAAAATAATTGGCAATAGCCAGAAGAAAGCATTGAAGAATAAAACTGGAACAAGTGAAGAAGTTGGTTCAGAAGAGTAGTAAGGTTGGTACAGAAGAGGTCAGTAAGGTACAGAGTAGAGTGGGACATGAGGGGGCTTCAAATCCACTCCTTGTGCAGACAGCAGCAGGCGGGCTCGGGCGGCTGGCGTTGTCCTCACACCAGGAGGCTCGGGGCCAGCCACTCATCCTCACCGATCTAATACCAAATAATTATTACTAAAGTTAAACTTCTATGACGGAGGTTCGTCATTTTGTTATAACAAAGAAGGTACACTAAATTCCAATCCAAATTCTTATGAATAGGGAAACTGAAAATATTTCTGGTGACATACATAACTGTATGTTAGCTACCCATATTACCTTACTATTATAACTCCACTTCATCTCAAATTTTAATAAAATAACAAAATAATATATATCAAAATAGCAACCATGTATGGAATTTGATGCTACTGATAATTTAATATTGGTTTTAGATAGAAACGAATACGTTATAGTACTTGACGCTTGAGTTGACGGATACTTACGGGTTGCACTTGGAAGTGTTGCACTGGATAGTGGAGGACCTGCGGCGGCTGGGACATGGCCGCCACGCCGCCCACACCACCTACACCCCCAACGCCGCCCACTCCGCCTACGCCGCCACCCAGAGCCCACGGCAGCTGCACACCTCCCATACTGTAACCGTACGCGATTAATCAGCTCATTAGATGCTCACCGAGGTGCTCGAATTATATCCTGAATTAGAGACATCACTGAGTCAGCGTCATTGACTATGATATAAGAATACATTTGCCAAAATTTAGTTCTCACTGGAATGATAAAAAAGTTATTGAACGTAACATACAAACAAATAACCATACCCCATATACTGCTGCTGATATCCTGCAAACTGTCCGGCGTAGGAATATCCCTGCACGCCTTGTACACCCTGCACCCCCTGCAGGAACCCTCCGAGCTGCTGGGGGTACGTGTTGTACCAGTACGAGGCGGGAGGCACACCACCCGCCGTGTACGCGCCGAACGGACTGTATGCTGTACCTCCCAGCTGTAACATGTAACGTTACTTCATTAAATTATGTAACATTAGTAATGTTCCATAACGACGGATTGTAACATGATTGTCGTATCACGTCTTATCACGATACGATGTTATGTCAATTAATAAGTCAAGTTCCTGCAGAATATAAGATATAATGTAACATGATTAGTCAAGTCACTACAGAGTCAAGAAATGACTATAGTGACTTAATGACAAATGTTAATTCACATTCCGCCATGATCTTTAAGGTTAGGTTTGAATATTATCTACTATCAAACTCACTTCCTAATATTATAAATGCGAATGTTTAGATGGATGTTGTTTTGATGGTATCTCCATAACTGCTGAACAGATCTCTATGAAATTTGTCATACATATAGAACATAGTCTGGAAGAACACATAGGCTACTAATTAAGTTTTTACCACGCGAACGTAGTGAAGGCGACAGCTAGTCTGTCTATACACTTGGTCATACGCTCTGGCGTCTTTTCCTACCCGAATATCAATAGTTAGTGGTATAATTCTGCTTCCTTAGTAACTATTAACCCCTTTATTGATGGGTTATTTGTTTTTAAGCATCTTCGTTAATTATTAATTCCAAAGTTAATTATTAAACTGTTAAGTTCTATTCTTGTATATTAATTAAATTCCATCAAAACATCTTCTGTATTTTTTTTTATATCATAAGGTGGTAAACGAGCGAGCGGCCACCTGAAATCGCTGAAATAGCGAAGTGACCGTTGCCCATAGACATACGCAATTGTATATGCGTTGCCTACCTTTAATCGACGGAGGAGAGGATGCACAGAATGAAAACATTTTCCCCTTCCATGCATCCTCTCATCCGGAAAGTCCACTTCCACTTCCCATCCCTTTCCTTATGCGAAACAGGGTGGGAAGGGAAAGTGGATTAAATTAGGCCTCCGGGACGCACACTCATCAGACGAAACGCGGAATTGCTTCCACTTGACGTCTGTCTTCTGTGTGGTCGTGGTATATCACCGGGCGAGCCGGGACAATTCGTGCGAAGATGTTAAAGCGGGCTCTACCACTGTTAAAGTTAAGTCTGTATAAGTTAAAATAATTATATATTCTCTTTAGTAAAGATTTAGTTCTGTTTCCATTAGAATTTGCATCTGAAAGAAAGTACTCGAAGACGCTAAGGCCAATTTGCATGTATTTAGTATTTAGTTACGTAAATTTACTCGTATAGTGAGATATCATTTAGGTTGTTAATTTAAATTATCAATTTGTTTTCTCTCTTACTAATATTACTAGCTGTCGCCCGCGACTTCGTCCGCGCGGGATTAAAAATAGATGTTGGCCGATCAGACCTACTCAATATGCTCACAAAATTTCATGAGAATCGGTCAAGCCGTTTCGGAGGAGTATGGGAACGAAAATTGTCACACGAGAATTTTATATATAAGATAACACTAGCTGTTGCCTGTGACTCCGTCCGCGCGGAATTAGAAACTTAATTAGTAGTCTGTCTTCCAGACTATGTTCTATATGTATGACAAATTACATCTAGATCCGTTCAGCTGTTCCGAAGATACCTTCAAACAAATATCTATCCATCCAAACATTCGCATTTATAATATAAGTAAAATTTCATAAATAAATTATAATTTTAAATTCTGCGTTCTGTCTGATGAGTGTGTGTACCGGAGGCCTTATTTTTAGTCCTCGTTCCTTATAAGGAAAGGACTGGAAGGCGAAGTAAAGGGAAATATTCTCTTTCTGTGTCCCCTTCTCCGTCGATTAAAGGTAGGCAACGCATCTGCAATTGTAAATGTCTTTAAGCAGCGATCGCTGCTTCATTTTGGTGAATTAAGATGGCTATTGGCGATATTAAAAAGTGGTGTACCTGTCCCTGCGCTTGCGCATTGTTAGGGTCTCCAGATTCCTTGCCCCAGGAGCATTTGACGAGCTGACCGTTGACATCAGTATTGTGAACGGCCACTATAGCGTGAGTGGCGCTTTCTTTCGTTGAGAATCTGAAAGTGAATTCAATGTTAGATCAATATTACGCCAAAGACCTTAGTTTTTTTTAAATTAAACAAGCCAGATCTTGTCTACTATCCCAGCTGATGTTAAGTGATGATGAGCCTATTCACAGTACTCTTGAAGGCCTCACGTTCGGACTTTTTTTAATATATGCATGAGACGTGATTTACCTGATGAAAGCATATCCCTTATCCTTGAAAACACGGATCTCCTGGATAGTACCGAAGGGCTGGAATGTCTTCTGCATGAGGTCTTCTGTGAGACCGGTTGTCAGACCGCCGCAGTAGACCGTGCAGTTGGTCGGCGAGCTCTGGTTGTACACCTCGTCGAAGGTCAACGGCTTCGAGTTCACTAGAGAAGACGGTTTTAATAGAATAAATTGGTTTAATCAGTAGACAAAAAGTAGCAGACCAGGTCTACCAGGTAGTAGACTTTATCGAATGTGTTGGTAATCACTATAATTTCTGATCGGAATTTTTTAAACCAAATGTGGCTACAAATTACCTAGATTCTTTAACAAATATCTAGGAGCAGCTTTTGTCAACGATTTTATCTTAGCAGAATTAAAAATGGATGAAAAGCATCCCTTGTCTTACTCGAAACTATCTATATCTGTACCAAATTTCAATTAGATGTGTTGAACTATTAAGGAGTTATAAAGTAAATATGTCCATCAAACATATCCCACGAAAACTGGACACATTTATATGTCATAAGTATCCTTCGTGTTCTAGACTATGTTCTACATCAGTGGTTCCCAAACTTATTTTGTCTACTGTCTGTCATATCTGAGAAAGTCAAAGATATGTGTGAAGTCAACTCGCACTTGGCCAGCATAGTTGACTATGGCCTAATCAACCTTAACTTAGGGTAGGCTCCGAGCCCCTCAGTGGGGACGTATAGTGAGCTGATGATGATTATAATAATTGTAAATCGAGATTTTTTTTTAAATTATAGTGGAATTTATAGTATGAAGAAGTATTTAGAATGTTTAAGTCCACATTTTAGTAAATTATAAATCGTAAATATTTTTAATACTAAAGTTATATTAAGAAATATCTACACTACATTTAACCGACCTTTACCTTATGAAAGGTAATGTTTCCCTCGCAAATTGAATTCGTCAGTTCCCGAGGGAAAGGAAGGGAAGGGAAGGTATTTGACGATGTTAAGAGTTTCCGTCAAGTAAGATTGTTACTGTGTAATACGGAATTTTGAAAAGTTTCATTAAAGTTATATTGGACTGTGGTCGGTGGCTCAATGGTTAAGCACTTGACTTGTAATCTGCACGTCCCGGGTTCGAATCCCACCATGTACCAATGTGTTACATTTAGATATTTTAAGTTATATGTTATTAGTTGGAATCATTTGGCGCGAATGGCGCGTTTTCGTTACCAAGTCAAGTGTCAGATTGATTAGTGAGGGGACATAAACGTCGACATTTTAGTAAGGCTTCTGTTGCGCCAGTACACCAGCACAGTGTCGAATTTTCTTCCTAACAATATGTAGGTACATTTATCTGACGTTACGGTGAAGGTAAACATCGTGATGCTGCACATATCTGAGAAAGTCATAGATATGTGTGAACTAGCTCTCCCCGTGACACTTAATTTGTAGCCAATGTGTTCTTCTAGTTTATTCTACGTCTGTGCCAAATTTCAGCTAGATCTGTGCAGCTGTTCTGGTGATATCTTCTAACAAACATACATCTAAACATTCGTATTTATATAAGCAATATTGCGAGACCTACTATGATGAAGAGAGGTATAAAAAATTAATTATAAATTTCACATCGAGTGCTGTACTTGTTAATCCATTAATTACAGCTAATTAAATCGAAGCTAATTAAAACGCTTCGCAACGAAGTGCCTACTTACTCTACTATGTAGTATATAAGTATATGTAGTAAATAAAAAGTAAAACTTTGTAAATAAATAAAATCAATCTTTTTGCGACTTTTACTAATATTATAAATTACGAATGTTTGTTTGTTTGATGTATGTTTGTAAGAAGGTATCTCCAGAGCGGCTGCATAGATCTAGCTTAAATTTGTCATAGATGTAGAACATAGTCTGGAAGAACACATAGACTACTAAGTTCTTTCATAAATTCCTCGCGAACGGAGTCGCCGGGTAATAGGTAATACAATTATGTTGTTTCTACTACTACTACTAAAGGTACTCGTCCAATGTCTCGCGCCGGACGCATCGCACACAAAAGATTTTAGTTTGCTTTGTATAATTTTACAAAGCGTTGCTTCCGTCGAGCTGCCCGCATCGAAAGTCAAAGCCGTGTTAAATCCGTACGTGCGGTGCTTTCAACGCGGACCAATGGACACGTACCTTAAACAATTAATGAAATATATTGCTACCTTTGTTCATTTCCAAAATAAAGAAAGAGATGAAAATATGCTAGAGCATATGTATCGCGTGGTTTTAACGATATGGTTTCAACACATCCAGACAGGTCACCATGGAAATGACATCGCGAAAAACATTTTCCTACAGTAACCCAATGTCAAATTAACTATAATTACAGGGTGTGTTAGGGTGGTTAAGGGGTGGTTAGGGGATGTAATAGTAGGCAATAGGGTGGTGGTAGCCCGCAGCGGATATTACCCATTGCGGAATTATACAGAGTTGTATAACGCCTTAGACGGATATTTTGTATGATTTCAGGATATTATTAAAGCTTGAATTCATATTAAATACGTTTATGTAATTTCCTGAATTTGAAATTACTATAAATAAGATAATTTGATATGTTTTATGTTGGCTTACTTTTCAGTTAATGTCGAATCAAATATTGGTATTTTCTGCTTTATATAAAAACTAGCCGACCCGACAGACGTTGTCCTGTCTTTAATTTGAAACTGACTGAAAAAATTTGACACTGCGATGGTAGCGCCGTCTGTCGGATTCAATGTAAAACATTCTAAAATCAACAACTACTAATAAATTAAAAATTAATTTAAAAAATTTAATTGTTCAGCGGACAAAATTGTGAATCTAAACCATTCCCAGATCAGCTTGAACACACACAAAAAATTTCATCAAAATCGGTCCAGTCGTTTGAGAGAAGTTCAGTGACATACACATTCACAGAAGAATTATGTATATAAAAGATATAGCTTATATCACTCGGAGATAGTGTTGCTTTCTGACAGCGATCGATCTCAAATTGGTTCAATAGTTTCCGAACCTGTTAAATACAAACAAACAAATCTTTCCTCTTTATAACATTTATATAGACGAGGAGGATGTTTTTAGTCTACTTCAAAAAGGAGGAGGTTTTTAAATTTTTCTGTATGTTTTTTTTATGTGTTTTACCGCGTAACTCCTGGTGCTACGGTCTAGTTCTACCTTAAACGTAAATAGGTCTAAGACATCAGGCCGACACCGACTCCGAAATAACAATAATTGTAAAGTACAGACAGTTCAAGAAAGAAAAGAAATTACTAGTTGGTAGTTACTTTTTAGTGCAGTTTGTTTTTTTTGTGATTCAGTATTTTTTTTTTATTTGCGAACGTTTTTTTATATTAGAAACATAAATATATGAGTTTTTTATACTTAAAAAATATTAAAGAGTTTCGTAAAGTGATAAAAATCTATATATATAAAAGAAAGTTGTGTTAGTTACACTATTTATAACTCAAGAACGAATTTACTGATATGGTTGAAAATTGTTGAGAAGGTAGCTTAGAGCCAGGAGACGGACATAGGATACTATTTATTCATTTTTTTTAGAATTTATGCCTTGAAGAGTTACTTTTTATTTAACTTATATATATTTATATATCCACGCGGACGGAGTCGCGGGCGACACCTAGTTATTTTATAATACAAAAAATACTCTACAATATAATCTGTTTTGAATAAAATAATCGTATAACTATCATCTCTGTATAATTCCAGCTTTGATATAATTCGCCCTCCAAACGACCTCTGTTCAACATCAAAGGGCGACCGCCGACAATTAAAATTAAAAACAATGTTATTATAGCAGATAATAAGAACAAAGCGGTTCACATTTTAATGGGAAAATTGTACGCCCCAAGCGAAAAAACAATAATATATTATTTTACAATTAATCTATGAATATAATCATGAAAATTAAATTGTGAGTTCGTAGGGGAGTTACGATGGAGCTGGACCCAAAAGATCTAGCTAGGCGTTGGAGGGTGGCGGTTGTGTTCCGTACGGAGATCCCGTCTCCCCCTCTCGTTAGCGCCGGTGGCGTCTGCCGTGGCGTTTAAGTCGGTGCAAGCCCGACATAACCTTTGTCCCCGCAAGGATGGTATGCGAAAGGCATTTCCCAACGATAAAAAAATAAAAAGGGGGAATATAATAAGTACCTACTTTATAAAATTCTATTTGTATTTTTACCCGACTGACTTATGGACATCGGTGGCTCAGGAGTTAAGCACTTGACTTGTCTGCATGTCCTGGGTTCGAATCCCGCCATGTACCAATGTTACATTTACATATTCTTAGATATAATTAGTTAAAATCTTTTGGCGGAAATCGCGCGTTTTCGTTACCAAGTGTCAGATTGATTAGTGAGGGGACATAAACGTCGACATTTTAGTAAGGCTCGTGTTGCGCCAGTACACTGGCACAGTGTCGAATTTTCTTCCTAACAATATGTAAGTAACAATTTATCTGACGTTACTGTGTAGGAAAACATCGTGATGCTGCACATATCTGAGAAAGTCAAAGTATGAAGTCTTACACTGGATTCACTATTCAGCATTCACTATCACATAGTCTAACTTAGGGTAAACTCTGCCCTCAGTGGGGATGTATAGCGACCTGATGATGACGTACAAACCCACATACGATGTGCGAAAAACATCGTAAAGAAACAAAACATAAAACAATTTCAAAAGGTTCGGAAAAATCGATTTGATACTTGAAAAAATAAAATATAAAAAAAAATGTGGTTCAATTTTAACTTATATAACTAAGTTTCTCTTTGATCGGTAAAGAAAAATATAACCTAAGTAAATAAATATTAAATATATAAAATTAAGTTAGAATAACATAGTATAACCCTTAGGCTATGTTTGTTCAGTTACATTTCACTTTGATCTTGACGACTCCTTGTGAATTTCGTATGAGACGAAAGCTATATAATACTACTAGCTGTTGCCCGCAACTCCGTCCGGGCGGATATATAAAAAAACTTATTTAGTGTAGCTCACCCATCCATTAGTAAGTTAAATAGAAAGCAACTCTTCAAGGCCTAAATTCGAAAAAAAATGAATAAATAGTATCCTATGTCCGTCTCCCGGCTCTAAGCTTCCACCTCACCAATTTTCAGGCATATCGATAAAGCCGTTCTTGAGTTATAAATAGTTTAACTAACACCACTTTCTTTTATATATAGATATGTTTGTCTTTGGTTAATATATTTAGCTATTTAATCGTTTAGTTATTCAAATCTCTTCAATGTAGCATTCAAGTATCAATAATACTATCCTGTTGTACCAAGTATCAAGATGCATTGAACAAGATATTGGAAATTCCTGCACAATTTGACGTTGGTTAAGCAAAGTACGCATGCGTCGAATTTGCAATTACTATGGAATTAATCTTGAGGAAATGGATTTGAACGTTCCTATATTGCTTTAGTGATGCTATATACGGTCTGCTATAAGTTGGTACAGTCAGGTATTTTGTCGGTATCATATTTAAAGACGTCGAAATCGTTTGAACGCCTTGAAATGATACAGTTTGGTGTTATTAGGGTTTTATACTTAAAATTATATTGCCGTGACATTTTTTATTACAACAATTTGTTATCTTTTGATATATCATTATTGTAAATACCACGAATATACTAAAAAAAAAACATTTTAATGTCATAAATTTGCATTTCAAACGTATTATCTTTGATAATTTATTATTGATAGCAGAGTAGAATACATATATAAAATATTTTAATAAATCAACAGAATAATGTTCAAACTTTCAAAATTTAATTACGTCATTGTTGTATTGAATGAGTAAATGGTATACCGCGAACGAACCCGACTGTACTATTTCCATTGACGACGTATTTCGTGAGTCGCGCGACCAGGCTAGTGGAAAAAGGGTAACTTACGTTCACTTTTAGGTGCTGGCGGTTTCCGTGTCGCCCAGTTTGTACGTATAGATCGTGAGCCGAGCCACTGGCCGTTCATAGCTGTTATTGCTGATTCCGCCTCCTGTAAAAAAAAAACATGCCTTTAAAATAAAAAACCACGAACATGCAGAAGACAGGCGTCAAGTGGAAGCAATTCCAACTACAGTCTGATAAGTGTGCGTCCCGGAGGCCTAGTTTTAGTCCTCTTTCCCTTCCCATCCTTTTTCTTATACGGTAAGGATGGGAAATGGAAGTGGACTATCCAGATGAGGGGATGCATTGGTAGGGAAAATATTTTCTTACTATGCATCCTCTCCTTTGTCGATTAAATGTAGGCAACGCATATGCAATTGCGTATGTCTATGGGCAAGGGTCACATCGCTATTTCAGCGATTTCAGGTGGCCGCTCGCTCGTTTGCCACCTTAAAAGAACCGAATTATTCAAACTATCATGAGACATTATAAAGCTAAAACGCACCAGTATATTTAACCAGTGTCGGCACTGACTAGTTTGCTTACTGCAGTGAGCACCCTGATGATGGAACTCGATGGACTTTAAATAAGCCAGAGCCGACACCGGAAATATGTTTTTAAAGAAATAACTACAATACAGGATTCCCATGTTATTTTAAAATAAAATATTAGCAGATTTTTGTTTATTTACTAATAATTCTTGTATTATCAAGTAAGCTTTAGGCTTTTTATGCTTTACAATACTAGAACGACGGGATTCGAACTCTCGATCGCGTGATCGGAAATCCGTACACTTAACCATTAGGCTATTGAAACTTAAATGGTCGTAACCCACAATTTTGTTATTGATATATTTTTTTACTGATATATACCAAATAAATCTGAATAATTGTATATCGGGTTATAAATTTGAATATAATCGCTACCGCTCCCGCTCCGCTTGTACACTGTAACCGATACCTTATCATATTAAAACGTTAAATTCTTTGATCTTAACTGACATTAATTATTCCGTCTCACGAGACGCTGCGGAGAAAATTAAATCGTGCATTTTTTATTATTTCTTTATTTATATTAAAGGAATAAATTTTGTAATGTGTAATTACAGGTGTTTTAATTGAAATCATACTAATATTATAAATGCGAATGTTTAGATGGATGTTTGTTGGAAGGTATCTCCAGAACGACTGCATGGACCTCGTTGAAATTTGTCATAGACCTAGAACATAGTCTGGAAGAACACATATACTACTAAGTTTTTTTTTAGTTCCGCGCGGACGGATCCGCAAGCGACAGTTAGTTGTTTATAAATCTTTTATATTAAACTAGCTGTCGCCCACGACTTTGTCCTCGCGGAATTAAAAAAAAAACTTAATTATTAGCCTATGTGTTCTTTCAGACTATGTTCTACATCTATGACAAAATTCAGCAAGATCCGTTGAGATGTTCGCGAGATACCTTCAACACATACATCCATCCATCTGAACATTCGCATTTATAATATTAGTAACATTATATAGATGTTTTTAGGGTACTAAAATCTTAAGAATCATCGTAAATTCCTACCAAATCCTACCAAAACAGATTTTTTTAAAATACTTCTGCAATATAAAAGTACATCGCTTCTTGCATAATACTAGAATACGGTTAAGTTAAGGTTCAAGTAATAAAATTATACTTCAAGTTACGTCATTCGATGTTTACAACTTAGTCCCAAGAGAAACTTAGTAACTGTTTCAGAGACATCGTTATAAGTTATAGGACTAAGTTTATTAAGTTTAAAAACCGTCTGCTCAAAGTTTTTGTATGATATCTTACTTAGATATTGAGAAATTAATTCTATCGATTTTTATTGCAATTGCATCAATTCCAATTTTTTTTTAGCAATATTTTCATCCACACGTTTTCAGATCGTGGGCGATGTTAAAAACTTACCGATTTCTTTAAGAACGACACGAATCCATAGCCTTTTGACTTCAGTGTCTGAGGGTCGCGGACAACTCGGCAATCTCTGTAACAATATACAAAATATTAATTTAATACTAGCTGTTCCCCGCGACTCCGTCCGCACGGTGTTAAAAAAACCTAGTAGCCTATGTGTTCTTCTAGACTATGTTCTACATCTTTTTTTTTATAAGAGAAGGGGACAAAAAAGCGGCGGGAACACCGAGGTGATCAACGATACCCATGGACATCTGCAACACCAGAGGAACCGCAGATGTGTTGCCGGCCTTTAAGGAAACGGTATGCTCGCTTCTTGAAGGTCCCCAAGTCGTATTGGTTTGGAAATACCGCCGAGGACAGACCGTTAGTATCCATGCCTTTCAGCTACCTAATCAGTCGCTCTGAAGATATCTTTAAACATCCATCTATCCATCCAAGTGGCTATCTAAACTATACACTATACTTTCTAGACTGATGCTACAATCATCTTACTAATATTATAAATGCGAATGTTTAGATGTTTGTTAGAAGGTATCTCCAGAACTGCTTAACTGATCTCGTAACATTTGGTATACATATAGAACATAGTCTGGAAGAGCAAGCATACACTGTCACTAGTGTTTTTATTGTGAAAAGTAGAAAAAATATTTGCTCTACATTTTTAAATGCTTCCCTTAAATTGTGAACATAATGAAGATGACTGTAGTAATTATTGTGCGTAAAATGCGTTGGTAATTTACTCTGAATGCCGAGCCTGAGGGACAGTCATTTCCTCGTAATGAAGTTTTGTAAATATTCACTACCTACTCAGAGTCATGTCATAGAATAAATGAGCATTATCTACCTGTCCTTGTCCCACACTATGTGGTCATGTTTCCGTCCTGTTGTAGTTTCTATCAGTTCAGCTCTTTTTTGACCTTTGGAGTAGATTTAACGTAATCTGCACTATATTAACTGACATGGGGCAACACCACGAGAGGCATAAACTACTTTGAACTACTAAGATACTAACAATTACTAGAGTTAACTCAAAAACTACGTGGTAGTTTTTTCCATTCTCTAGCTAAAAAATCTTTTATTTTGGAAAAAAAGACAAACAAAACAGTATTTTACGCAGACGAAGTCGCGGGCACAGTTTTTTTTATATAAAACTTTAATAAATCCAGAGTAAAAACTATCGCTTAAGTATTATTATTTTTTGTTTTTTAACGAAAAAAATATTCATAACTCTGACGTCAGTTACAAATTTCCATTTACAAGTGACCTTTATTTTCTGTCCTTTTCTTTCACATCTAGGCGTTAAATAAGTTCCTCTCTTCTGACTAATGGAAGTTAATTTTTAATGACTCACACAAAGTTTTATGACGTCCTCTGAGAAATTACTGGTGATAAGGAATTCCAGTTATTTTTTAAATTACACATTCAACCTTTTAGAATTAAAAAAGAAAAAAAAACAAGAAAATGGACGCTTGATTTTGACAGCTAGACTCTTTGGTTCGTATTCGTTCTCTGAATATTCAATTATTAAGAACTTCTGCTCGGGACTCCATCCATATTAAAAATACAGCCTATGTGTTCTGCCAGACTATGTTTTATATCTATGCCAAATTTCAACGAGATCCATTCAACCGTTCTGGAGAAACCTTCTAACAAACATACATCTAAACGTTCGCATTTATAATATTAAATAACCGGCGACTTCGACTACGTCCGTGAATTAAAAAATAACATAATTAGTAGACTATGTGTTCTTCCAGTATATCTTCTACATCTATGCCAACTTTCAACGAGATCCATGCAATCATTCTGGAGATACTTTCTAGACATCTAAACATTCGCATTTATAATATTAGTAAGATAGTAAGAAGTAGATGTCCCCATACACCAATTTACTAATAAAAGGCGACTAGGGAGGAGTGGCAGCGCCTGGTAAGGCCTGTCACTGATACTTGACGACCAAGACTACAACGACGAAGAAGAAGTAAGAAATAAAATTATTTCTATTAAAACAATTGAAACCCCAAATATATTAGAAAATAAAATAAATTCATTATAATTTGATGAACTAAATAAAAAACCAAATTGCGAATATCAGACGTGATCTGCAAATGTAAATAACTTTGGCATAAGAACAACACATAAAATGACGAATACTCATAAGGGTGTGTTTACATTGGCGGGTTCTTATAAGGGTCGGGTCCTACAAACAGCGAGGATTTATACTTATACTGTTTTAGTGCTTTAAAAAATTTGAAAGCAATTCTACAGCAAAATATTAATAACGACCTGTCATGATTAACCTCGAGAATTTTTTTTTAATTTTACTATAATAAAACTTAGCCTATATTTCTTATGCATAATGAAGCATTCTAGTGAAAGAATATTTTAAATCAATGCAATCGTTTTTGTTTATTCGTCACAAATATACAGAAATAAAAAACTTTTTGTGTTATAATATTTGAGCAGTTGCCCTCATCACTGTGGCCCCACCCTATTGGCGCTGGTCCAAGTGACGAACGCTAAGTTTATTGCCCATTTTTACGATTCAGTTGATCGCATTTTATAAGCTCGATATGTCTTAAGTAATTTGTCCCTACAGATTGTGTATTGAGAGAAGACGTTTACGAAAGATATATTCTTTACTAGTTGTCGCCCGCGACTCTGTCCGCGCGGAATTAAAAATAAACTTTATAAGTAGCCTATGTGTTCTTCCAGGCTATGTTCTACATTTATGATGAATTTCAGCGAGATCTTTACATTTGTTTCGGTCATACCTTCAAACAAACATCCATCAATCCATCCATACACTTGTCCAAGTCGTGTTAGTTATACTATTTATAAATCAAGAACGGCTTTACCGATGTGGCTGAAAATTGGTGAGGAGGTAGCTTAGAGCCAGGAGACGGACATAGGATACTATTTATGCATTTTATTTTTCGAATTTATACCTTGAAGATCTGCTTTTTATTTAACTTACTAATATTATAAAGGCGAATGTTTAGATGGATGTTCTGTGAATGGATGGATGGGTGTTTGAAGATATCTCTAGAACAGCTGAACGGATCTCGATTAAATTTGGCATACGTATAGAACATAGTCTGAAAGAACACATAGGCTACACTAATTAAGTTTTTTACATATTCACGCGGACGAAGTCGCGGGCGACAGCTAGTTTTCAAAATTCGTAAGATAGTTCGAAAAAAAGTTTGAGAATTACATTAATTGATCAATAGAGGGCGTTAATTAAAAAAAGTTTTATGAATAAAATTCAAAAAGCTGTTCAAGTACTTTTGGAGATATAAATAAGTTACTAACGATGTGTACTCCGGTCTTCAAAAACAATGAAACACTAGACATGTAAAGTTCATTTTTTATATGTGAATATATAGTCTCTATGTGAATTTGATTGGATGGTATTGATAATAATTTAATCCCACTGACGTAGGGTATGTGCACTAGGTTTCGTCCACCTAACGACCTTTGAGAATTAATTTAATTCCACTGACTTAGGGTATGTACACTAGGTTTCGTCCACGTATCAACCTATCTTCTGACATTCCAATCGTGATTCCTTCTTGGTAATGTCAACTTTCACACAATCTATATCTTCCTAGGCCTATCTATTAAAAGAAGAAAACTAAGAAAAGTACACTTTCGATATCCATACTATTATATTATTTCAAATTACTTACGATATTTCTCCAAAAGGTGCGAACGCGTCTCGCAAACTCTGCGTCTCGATCTCAGGACTTAGATCTCCGACAAAGATGTGGTAATGTTCTGTAACAAAATAAAAATAAATTAGAGGTCTTCTTATATTTATATACCTTGAGAAAACTATATATAATATTTCCACAAAAATTTTACCTATATTTTATTTACTTTGGTTTAAAGTAACTATGTACATACATATAATAGGTAGATACTGTTAAAAAGAAAATCCGACAGTGCCGGTGTACCGGCACAACACGAGTCTTAATAAAATGTCTATGTTTATGTTCCCTCACAAGTCATTCTTACACTGGACTTTGTAACGAAAGCACGTCATTCGCGCAAAAGGATTCTTAATAATATTGTCTAAAAATACATATAAAAAAGTGAAGTGCGCAATATCAAACCAAATTATTCGTAATATTAAATCCCCAGTCAGATCGTATCTATTGATTTCTACATATATTCTCTTTCCGGTCATAGGGTTGCCAAAAAAGAAATATTTAATTTTGACCTTGAACTTTTTTACGTATTTGACTGCACTTGTACTACTTATAGAAAGTGATCATAATATCAATTTTTTGGGGAATTTCTCTTTGTTTTGACTAAGATACTGATTTGAATATTATTAATTTAAAATTGATATGCACGCCATCTAGTTTAAAATAAAAATAACTCTTTACTTATGCACTTATTTGCTTTTCTATTTCTTGAATATTTATTTGAAACATAATATCACACATTTAATGAATAAACGCTAAGTAATTTTTTAATGTGTACTAGCTGTCGCTTCTACTCCGTTCGCGCGGAATTAAAAATAAAATTAGAAGCCTATGTGTTCTTCCAGACTATGTTCTATATCTATGACAAATTTCCGTGAGACCCATGAAGCCGTTCTAGACATAAGTTCCAACAAACATTCATCTGAATATTCGCATTTATAATATTAGTAAGATATAGCTGATATGTGGTTATAGAGCGCCAATAGCTTAATAGTTAAGGGTACGGATTGCCGATCACGTGATTGAGATTTCGAATCCCGCGATTCGATTATTGTAAATAATTACAGAATCCTAGATCCTAGTTCGAACGGTACAAGAGATATTAGTAAATTAACAAAAATCTGATAATATTTTTTGTCATAAAAAATATTAAAAATATCGTCAACCCTATCCTTCGCTACATTCGACGCAGGCTTTCACGGATTATTTGAATGTAATTGAATTTTGCATATCGATTTCTTTTTCCTGTATAAATTGTCGCTTCAATTCTTACTTCAATGCTTCGTATATGCTATATACATAAGTCTTATGTATTACATTATATAAATTCGAATATGATGTAGAAATACATATATAAAAATAGATGTAGCACAGTAAAAATAAAAAGCTGAAAGTGTTTGTAATAAATAAAGATCGGTTTTCACGGTGCATAATTATTGCATCATCAGCTCACTTTACGTTCACATTGAGAGGCTCGGAGCCTACCCTAAGTTAAGGGTGACTAGGCTATACAACCTAGTCAACCACGCTGGTCTAGTGCGGGTTGGTTGACCTCATAACGTTTTCCTTCACCGTAAGAACGTCGGATACATGTACATATGTAAATCGGAAATCGAAAAACACATTGGTACATGGCGGGATTCGAACCTAGGACCTGCAGATTGCAAGTTAACTGCTTGACCCATGAGCCACTGACGCATTCATAATTATTTATGGATAGATAATTACACCTAGAAGAATAAAAAATACTAGGACAACAAAAGTTGATATCGACATATCTCATCTAACTTGTGGGTTTGTGAGACCAAAATCTCTGTATAAAACATATCGTCATCCCTGTCATTATCTTTGATAAAACAGAGATAACTATACATTAGAGAATTTTAGAATGTCTATGCTATAAAAAAAATGTTATTCTATGGTATACAGTCACACTGGATTGGTTACCAGTCTACATGACCTCATCACGCATGAAAATACGGGGTATGCATTATGTATCGTTCCGCCGCAGGGCGTGACCCATTTCGCGGCATACGCCACCCGTCGCGTAAGCCCCCCACGACCTCCGGACAAGTTTTTACAATGTTCATTAATTAGTATGCTACGATTCGTAACGTTAGTCTTTGTTTATGTTTATTAGCGTTGCTATGAATTAATCTGCCAGTTTTAAGGTTTGTTAAGTAAAGGTATTGAAAATTGAGGATACGAGATTTAACAAATAAGTTTTTCGCAAGAAAAAAATTATATTTACTGTTGCCTTTTTTAGCACTAGAAAGGAATAGTCAAATTCGGTAGAATTATACCGTATTTTATACAAGAATAACCAAATTAGTTTATTAAAAAAGTGGTCAAGTGCGAGTTGGACTCGCGCATCGAGTGTTCGTGCAAAATTTACGGATTCGCAATTATTCCTTTATCTGTGTTTAAAACGTTGCTTTATACCAAATTTCAAGATTCTAAGTTCACGGGAAGTACCCTGTAAGTCGAAAATTTGCGGTATAAACGGCTGTATCTTTGGTTGCGTTGATTTAGAAACTTGATTTTTTCACTGCAAGAGACACGAGTAGGCACGAGTGTTTGATATAAATTCCAGTTTGATGCGTCCATGCGTTCTTGAGAAAAAAGGTCTTGACGGACGGACAATAAAGTGTTCCTATAAGGGTTCCTTTATTCCTTTCGAGGTTAAACCATATTCATCAATGGTAACTATACCAACAGATGACTATCGCTTACGTACGAGAATCAGTTATTTAATTTATTGCCCCGCCGGAGCAAGGTTTATCAAAAACATTATAGACTCATTTGAGTGTTCCCCTCCACGGAAATCTTTAGTAAAAGGCGAAAGATTTATACGTTTTGAAGGGAAACCAGAGTAAAGAAATTTTGGTACGGCGTGAACCTAACCAACTTACAAAGAAGGTCTATATCGCGATGCTAATATTATGAATATTGATGAGCGACATCTGGCGACCAATTGCGAAACCATTTTAAAAATAAAAACGTACGTGTAAATTTAACGTTGATTATAAAATTAACTGTTATAGGTATTTTGAAATTGATACCAAATCAAAATCAATAAAAGACTAGCTGTCGCCCGTAACTCCGTCCGCGCGGAATTAAAAAAAAAAGATTAATAAGTAGCCTACGTGTTCTTCCAGATTATGTTTTATAGCGACATCTATGGAACCGTTCTGGAGATACCTTCTAACATACATTGAAACATTCGCATTTATAATATTAGTAAGATAATAGAAATGGACGGTCGATGGGGCCGCAAAGTCCTAGAGTGGCGGCCACGGACAGGTCGACGCAGCGTGGTCAGGCCTCCCGCAAGATGGACCGATGACCTGGTGAGGGTTGCGGGAGCGTCCTGGATGCAGGTAGCACAGAACTGGTCATCGTGGCGATCTTTGGGGGAGGCCTATGCCCAGCAGTGGGCGACTTATGGCTGAGAATGAAGAAGAATGAATAGGTTCGTTTAACAATTAAAAGCATTTAAAAATCAACCGAGTGCGAAAGGGACAGATAAACAAACCTTCGGCCCGTACATTCCCCAATAGAAAACTGAATCAACACACATAACGAATATGTAAGCAAAATAAAAAAAAAACAAACAATATCCGATCGTCTAAAACCACTGGGAAATTTCATGCACCAATCGTCAATTTTATTTGAAAATTTTTTACGTTACAAAATGTTTGAAACCTCTGGAGATCGTAAGAACAAAGGAGTTACGACCCTATTGTATTTAAGTTAGGGTTTACTTTTGTTTGTGTTAGAGTTGATTGTTTTAAGTTGAAATTTGTT